CAATTTCCCAACTAGTCGTTGATATTGTCCTTTATCAACTAGAGGACTCTCTTCTTCATAGCCCATCTTGTGATTCTGCTCAATAGGAGTATTAGAGGGTTTACACCCGAGCTTTCCTGCTTCTTTGAGAAGATCAAGAACATATTTCCTCTGGCTGATAAAAATTCCTTTGCTTGAATGAGCTACTTCTATCCCTAGGAAATATCTCAGTTTCCCAAGGTCTTTGATTTCAAATTCAGAGGCAAGCCGTGTTTGCAGAATCTGTCTCTCCATAAAATCATCACCTGTGATAATAATATCAGCAACATATACAAGGAGCACAGTAAGCTTCCCATTTTAGGAGTGCTTGAAGAAAAGAGTGTGATTTCCTTGGCTCTGTTTGTATCCTAAGGTCATCATAACCTTAGTAAATCTTCCAAACCAAGCACGAGGTGACTGCTTCAATCCATACAAGGCCTTTTTTAATCTACAAACTTTATTTTCCCCCTTCACAGAATCAAAACCAGGCGGGATTTCCATGTAGACTTCTTCTTCTAACTCACCATTGAGGAAAGCATTTTTCACATCAAATTGATTTATATCCCAATTGTAATGGGCAGTAAGGGATAACAAGATTCTCACTGTATTCATCTTTGCAACTGGAGCAAAGGTTTCTTCATAATCAATGCCATAGGTTTGAGTGTAACCTTTGGCCACTAATCGAGCCTTATATCTCTCAAGAGTGCCATCAGAATTATATTTCAGGGCATAAACCCATCTGCACCCTACTGCTTTCTTTCCGTTGGGTCTATCAATAACCTCCCATGTTTTATTTTTCTCCAAAGCATTCATCTCCTCTTGCATGGCTTGAGCCCAATTCCTATCTTTCAAGGCTTCATGTACTGATTTTGGGATTGCAATAGAATCTAATGCTGAAACAAAGCTTTTGTGCTGCATAGAAAGATTAGCAGAGGAAACAAAGTGGGAGATAGGGTATTGAGTACAAGAGGGACAGGAGGAACAAGTTTTCTTGTGACAAGATCTTTTTCCTTTTCTAAGAGCAATAGGTAAGTCATCAGAAGTAGAAGCAATAGGTAAGTCATTAGAGACATCAGAAGAAATAGACAAATCATGAGAGGAAATAATATTAGAATCAGAAACAGGAGATTCAGGAACTCAGAAGAAATAGGAGATTCAGGACTTACCAGTGGTTCAGACGATTGAGGTTGCTGGTGAGACAGTATGAGTTGTATCTCAGGTGTATTTGAAGGTTCTGACACACCAGGAGCAGACACACTAGGAAGAGAGAAGATTGATCCAGACTCAAAGAAGGAATGGGACGAGTCTTCTGAAGAACTATTCTCCCCCTGACGATGAGGACCCAGGAAATAAGATTCAGATTCTTGAAAGGTGACATCCATAGAAACAAAAAATTTCTGACTTGGTGGATGATAACACTTGTACCCTTTTTTATAAGGGTTATAACCAAGGAAGACACACTTAAGAGCCCTAGGATCCAACTTACTCCGATGTTGTTTATGAACATGGACAAAGGCAACACATCCAAACACTCTTGGTGGAAGGCTCTGCAATATGGGAACAGAAGGAAAGAAGGAAGTCATTGAATGAATAAGACTGATATTGTTAAGGACTCGTGAAGGTAAACGGTTGATCAAAAAAGTTGCAGCTAATACTGCTTCTCCCCAATAAGAACTAGGAACAGATGTATGAAAAAGTAGTGCTCTAGCAACTTCAAGAAGGTGACGATTTTTCTTTTCAGCAACCCCGTTTTGTTGAGGGGTATCAACACATGTGAGCTCATGAATCATACCTCTGTCTGAAATGAATTGTGACAGGCGTTGATTGACGTACTTAGTACCATTATCAGATCTGAGTCTTTTAATACCCTTACCAAACTGAGTCTCAACCATGTGATGAAACCGAATAAATATCTCTGGTACTTCAGACTTGTCTTTGATCAAGTATATCCATGTTATCCGAGTACAATCGTCAATAAAAGAAACAAACCACCTAGCACCTGAAACACTGTGCACTTTAGAAGGGCCCCAAACATCAGAATGGATAAGAGAAAAAGGTTCCCTGCTTTTAATAGTGCTAGAAGGAAATGACACTCGATGGTGTTTTGCAAATTCACAAACATCACAATGAAAGGTCTCAACCGACTTATTGAGAAACAGAGAGGGGAACATAGACTTCAAAAGACTAAATGGTGGATGCCCGAGACGCTTGTGATGGAGCCAAATCATAGACTCTGCAGTAGAAGGATGACGTGTCATTAATAACTGATTTTTGCTAGCATGGTCTGGAAGGAGATGATACAACCCATCCTGTTCATTAGCAACTCCAATTGTCTTCTTCGTGGTAAGATCCTGAATAAGACAATGAGAAGGAAAAAATGTGATAGAACAATTCAAATCAGTTGTAAGTTTTTGAGTGGAGATAAGATTAGTAGAAAGCTGAGGAACATAAAGAACATTTTTAAGAAACAAGGAAGGTTGAATTTGAATGTTACCAGAACCAATAACTGATTTATGGGATCCATCAGCTACGGATATAGTATGACTACCAACAGTAGGATGATAAGAACAAAACAACTCAGTACGACAAGCCATATGATCAGTTGCACCAGAATCCAAAATCCATGAGGTTTTAAAATCAGTGCAAGAAGCAAGAAGAGATATAGAACGTGTGCTCTTACCAGATAAGATCGAAGAACTATCATGCTCAGCCATTCTTTAACAAAAAAAGTTAACAACCAGCGATAAAATCAACCAAACAGAATATCAAATGACCTCTGATCAGAAAAATAATTACAGATCCAGACAGAAGACAAGAAAACGAGAAGAATGGTGGTGGTCCGGTCCAAAAACACGGCCGCACGCGCCAGAGAAATGAGCTGCGTGGGGGATTCACTCGCCGGGAAACGGGCGGCGCGTGAGAGCGCGTGGATGGGCTTCGCCGGCTGAGATTTTTCTGGTGTGGTCGTCCGGTAAGTGCGCACCTGTCTGTGGGTGATCGCGGTTGAAAAGTCGCCGGAAAGTGGTCCAAACGGTGAAGACAAATCTGATTGGAGGCGATCGGAGGTGTTTCGGTCGTTTGTGGCGGAGGAACACTACGTAGAATGATAGATCGGAGGAAAAATAAGGTCAACAATGGTCCCCTTGGTCCAAAAGGTCCCCGGAAAAATTTTCCGGTGGCGGCTAATGGCGGCAAGAGGCAAAGAAATTAGGGTTTAGTTAAAAAAGAAGATAATATGTGCGGAAGCAAAGCCCTCAGATCGAGAGCTCTGATACCAACTTGAAAAAGGGTATTCTAATATATTATAGAATTGTAAATAATCTGTACAAAGGGTTCTCTATTTATAGAGAATATTTGATCTACTTTTAACCTAATGGGCTTGGCCCAATACAACAAAGGACTTGACTCAATACAACAATAAATGACTAAATAATAACTAAATCAATATTATTTACAACAATAATCAGTGCCCATATGAATTTGTTCAGAAACAGACCTCATGCAAGACCCCGAGGCATCAAATTCACTAAAACGTAAAGAGCAATTGAGCCATAAACCAACACATCATCAAACATTTGAGTATCAATTTATAGTGTTGCACAATTATACAACTCACTACCACTCTGGCATTTCATCAAACAAGTCTTGGCCAACTAAACAAAAGTTTACTTGAAACAACTTCCAATTTTATCGGATGTCCCCTGACTACTTGAAGCAACTTAAACAAGCATAATTAACCCCAAACATAAAAAATAAATTAAACTAAAATAACTTATAAATATTGTATTTGATAAATCTTAAATTCATGGTGTTTTGAATATAAAATGGAGTCTTAAAACTCCTAAATCAAGTATTAAAATATGAATTTAATGTCTTGTTATTTTCGAAGTCATTAAATAATTTATTATTAAGATATCTTTATATATATATATATATATATATATATATATATATATATATATATATGGGGAAAATAAATCTTATGTTTTAAGAGAATTCTAATCTCATGTCACAGAAAATTTAAATTTTAAATTAAAAAAAGCACTCACTTTCTCTTTTTCATGATTTCCGTTTGTCTGTATCTATCTCTCTCCTAAAATGAAATAATTTATGTCATTTAAAATGACAAACAACGTAGTCATATATATATATATATAGTGAGCATTTGCTGATGGACGGACTGGATCGAATGTTGGGCTTGGGAAAGAACGGTGGTGATCAATTCACAGGAGGAATAGAAATCACAAATCCGGGTGATGCTTCTTGATTGGTTAAAATCCCTGCTTCTGATGGCTTTTTCTTCTCTCCCTTCCTTTTTTTTCTACTCTCTCTCTATGTAAAATCCCACTATTTCGCTGTCGCCAAAAAACACAACCAGGAGCGCTATTTCACTCACTGATCGTTCCTGTGGAATGCTGAATCTTCTGGAGCATATACCCATCTGGAGCCAAAAACCTCAGATTTTTGTGTTTTGTAAGGTCCTATGATGGTGACTGCCATTACTGAAGACACAATGAGCTCGCCAAGGCAACACTTCTTCTTCTTCTCGTCGATTCCCATCTCCTCTTCACGACCAAGGCGGTGAAGCTTGTCGGAGGTGGAGAGTTCTTTTTCTTTTTGGTCACCCGGACCCGACAAAAACCCGGCGGGTCAACGGATCCGGAAGAAACCGGTCTAATGGTGACCGGGTTTAATTACACTGGTCTGGATGCATGTCCGGTCCGAATGTTGACCGGGTTTAATAACGACGGTCCCAAACATGTGCAGCAGCGTAAATTTGAATTTCCATCTTCAATTGGGCCTAGTGTTTTGGGCGCCAAAAGTCGTTTGGCCCATTTTATTGCCGCCATAAACGTCCATAGCTGTTCGTAACTGTTAAACTCTCACTCGCTCATTTGTTCTGTTAAACTCTCTCTCTCTCTCTCTCTCTCTCTCTATCTCTCTCTCTCTCGTTTCTTCTGTTAAACTCTTTCTCGCTCAACATGTCTTCCTTTCTCATCTGTAGGAAGAGAAAACGATGCCCCAAGATTTTCAGGTTCCACTCTTTCGCTGACCATGGTTGCCCCATCACACCTTCTGGTCCCTTCCGCGACAACGTTCGGTTATTTCTTCAAGAAGCCGGACAACTCCAAGATTACAATGTCTCTGGCAACCCACTGTGGTGCACCCTTCTCAACCCCGACAGTACTAACCTAACGGCTCCTCTCTACACCATCGAAGAGGACGTTAACCGGTCTTCCCATCCCTTCTGCGATCATTGCCGCTGTGTAGGTACGTTTATAATTTCCAATCTTTACCTCTTGGGGTTCGTCTGGTTGATGATTCTTGAACTGGGTCGGTTCGATTTTGCAAGAATTTTGATTTATTTGTTTGTTTTCTGAATTGGGCATGCGTCTTTATTTTGTCCGAGTCTTGAATAGGGTTCTTTTTCGTTCTTTCTTTGACGTCTGTTGTGGTTGTTGTCATCGTGATCAATATCTCTGAATAGGGTCTTTCTTTTGATAATGAAGTTGATATGGGTTGGTCGCCAATTTTGGATTTTTTTTCATGGTTTTGATTTAGCTAGTGAGTCGTGAATTTAGTTTTGTTTTGCAAGAATATTGATTTATTCCGAAAAGGGTTCGTTGGAATTTTGATGATTTCTACCACTTCTGGTTTTTGTAATTATGATTTAGTTCTCTCTTTTAATTAGAAACTGAAACGGGTTGCTATTGATACTGATAGTGTGATACCAATATGTGGATTTGTTTGTTTTGTGATTGGTAGGTTGGAGCGGCCATTATGTATCAAAGAGAAGGTACCATTTTATAATCCCGCTGGACAACGGGTGGCATAAACCCTTAAGTGAAGGTGCTCTTGATAATCAGAGTCATCTCTTGCATGGGATTATTCACTGCAATGGATACGGTCATTTGCTTTGCATTAATGGCATAGAAGGGGCTTCTAAAGTTCTCAGTGGGAGAGAGATCATGGATCTCTGGGACAGGATCTGCATCAATCTTCGAGCAAGGTAACTGTTGTAATATAGTAAGAAAATAATTAACTCATTTATTAGTTTCATTTCTGGATTTCAATATTTATTTGGCAATTTTCTTCGTATGGCAGGAAAATTGCAGTGGAAGATGCTGCAAGGAAGCGGTCTATGGATCTTCGGTTACTTCATGGAGTTGCTTATGGGCACTCTTGGTTTGGTCGGTGGGGCTATAGATTTTGCCGTGGAAGCTTCGGTCTAACTGAGGAAAATTATTATGAAGCAATCGAGGCTCTTGGTACTTTGGAGCTGGAAAAGATTGTAAAAGATTTAAGCAAGACAGAGTGCTATAAAGAAATCAAACAAATGATTCGCTGCTACAGAGATATGAGTGAAGCTCAGATTATCACAATCAGAGATCTTCTCAGGTTTATGCTTACTGTCAGGTCTCGTGCTTCTGTTTCTAAGATAACAGTCATTTCTTCTGCTGCTCCTCCCATGAAGGAAAAATCTGCTAGGTATAAGAAGTTCAGCTGTGCAGTGATTTCTATGGATAGCAGGTGGCCAACAAGAAGACTAGAGTTTGCAGCTCAAGTGATTGTTGATGCACTTAAAGAGAACAAGGCTGCCAAATCAGGTTCTTGTGGGATGACAAGACAAGATGTGAGAGATGCAGCTCGGCTCCATATTGGTGATACGGGCTTACTGGATTATGTGCTGAAATCACTTAACAATGTGATTGTTGGAAATTTTGTTGTTCGTCGCAAGGTGAACCCATCAACTAGGATCCTGGAATATAGTATCGATGAGCTTGGCAAGGGGTTCAAAGCCCCTGAACTGGAGTCTGGGGTAATGGCTGTTATAGATCCCAAAGTAGAATCATCTTGGGTTCCTGGTAATGATGTCTACAATGATGTGTTTTATTTGTACAAAAATGTACTATTAGGCTACCTTGATTCAGAACCAGTGGACCTTGTAGCTCGGACAATTCTTCACAGCAGGCACTTCGTGAAGGAGTGGGCTTTAAGGGATGAAATGAAGCAGGTGTTGACATTCGTTTGCCGCTTGAAGCTAAATTTTGTGGACACTAAGTCTGAGTTGAAAGGGCTACCTTGTGGCGAGATTGTTATGGTTCCACTGCATGCAACAGTGGGAGACTTGAAGCAAGCTGCGGAGGCTGCTCTGAGGGATACTTACTGCATTGCAGAAAGGCTTATAGTGACAGAAATTGTAGAATTGATGGATGCAAGTGATGAGGAAGTCCTTTTTGGACTAATCCAGTCTGGTGTGGAACTTTCTGTGAGGGGTTTTGCCATAGATTTGTGTACTCCATTGAAGTATCAGGGAGGGTCTGACAATTGGAAGGTGAGGTGTGACTGTGGTGCTGCTGACGATGATGGTGAAAGAATGGTGGCTTGTGACATCTGTGAAGTGTGGAAGCATACACGCTGCTGTGGAATCGATGACTCAGTGACAGTGCCACCATTGTTTGTGTGCTCTAGCTGTTGGGATTCACTTGTACCCCCAAGGATTGAATCCGGCTTGACTGTGGATTGTGCTGATGATTTTCTGATTCCAACAGAGCCTACCCACTTACTGGAGTATGGGTATGGTTACTGAATGCTTGAATACTATTGCTGATGGACTTTGTAGCAATGTAGGTAAGTTTTCTTTTTTTCCTTTTCTGTTATCTTTTTTCGGACAGTAGTTTCTTGCTGATTGAAAGAGGGGAGAGAACGGATAAAATTCCTCTTTGTGCTCTGTTTCTATGATATTAATTTTTTTGGTGTTCTCTCTTTTTTCGTCTTGTTTCTTTTAATAAGAAATAGCTATGTGATTTTGTGTACGTCTTATTTGAATTTGAATTCAGATGCCATTAGTGATAAATGTGATGAGTTTTCTCCCGTATCCGTATGGTCCATTTTCATTCCATCTTTACGTTGTTAATACTTCAATCCATTTTTAAGTTGTTAATACTTAATAGGTTTGATGCCACTGAGGTCAATGGGTCACCATTATTTTTTAATTTAGAAGTGGGCAGCAGAAAAATTCAGGCTTTTCATTCTGGGTTGTAGTTATTTGTGATAGATATGTTTTTAATATCCATTATATTTATTGACAGAGATATCAGATGACTAAATGAGTGGTTTCATCTATATTTGTTAATATAAACTATGTAAAATACTTGAAATGATTAATAGGAAAAATAGCAGTGTTGTTTACGGTCAGTTCCATTCTTATTCTTGTGCCAAAAATGGAATAGAATGGCAACCATTGTGTTGTATATGTAGATAGGTTTCATCATTTTGGTTTATCCCTAAAATGACACCCATTTTGTGAAGTTTTTTCATACTAGTGGATCAAATTATAGTCTCCATCCATTTGCACGCTTGAAAATTTGAGCATACCTTAGTTTTTTGTTAAAGCCATTCTATCCTACTTGAATCCGAAATTTCCTGCCTGTGAAACACAGAATGTTGGATGAACTGAAAAAATAAACAATCACTGAGCTTAAGAGTCAGTAGTCATGTATTCATCATCATGACATATATATATGCAGTGAAGAAATACAATGTAAAGTGATAATGGAAATATGTGTTGTACACGTTTGACCACTCATTGCTGCCTTATCATTCTAACTTCACGACCCTTTTCTATTTGCCTATCTACGTTTGTGAATGAAAACAGTACAAAAATTAAGTGCACATCTTTTATGTTTACTAAACTTTAGGTGGTATGAGTTTGGGAGAAATCAAGGTTGTTTGTGGCAGATGCTAGCAGCTCCAAACCACCTTTTGTTATTGTGAGTTTCTTGTTGGACATCTATATGTTGTTTTCTGATGCCATGTGAAACTGTTTTTGCTCCAAATTTTATACCTGAGTAAAAATCAATTATGTGTATACAATTATACGATTTAGTGTAATTAGAGATTATGTGTGTTATGGTGTGCGAAGTAACCATTTGCTGAATAGTGGGATTGATCCTTCCCAATTTCGGAGATCCTTCTAATGAAAAAATAAAATCTATTGGTCAATTTCTTGAAAGTGCTTTGTCTTGTAGATTACGAAGTTTCTCAAAATTCAATAATTACATGAGGTGTTGAATGTTATCTAATTCAATACTATCTCATTTCTTGATGTGCTTTTTTTCTCTCTCATTTTTCTTAATTTATGAAGTAATAAATTTCCTCCTTGTTTCTAAATTTTTTAATTAAATCTTGTTTCTAAATTTTTTAATTAAATCTTGTTTCATTTATCGCAGGTACTGCAATTGATCAAGGAATTGCTTACTTTCTTATGCTGGTGGCGCTGGCAATTACATACATGTCCCATTAATAATACCATGTAAAGGCTATATAAACACAGCAATACTCCAATGTACTTTATATTGTATCAAACAGCTTGGAAGTGCAATAAAACTATCACAACTTTTTTTTCCCTAGTCTTCCTTTCCTTTTTTGGCATCTTATTATTGAGGAGTGGTTCAACATCACACAAGCTCGTAAGTGTACAAATTTATTTAATTACAGAGATGATGTTAAAACTTATATTGTTCAGCATCCAAAAGAAAAAAAAACTGAAGTTGTTGGTCCAAATGATGTATATATTTAGTGCTCACAAGCACCCGCAGCTGAAAGTTTCAAATCCAAAGAGAATTGTAAAGGTGTTGCAACATATTTAACTTGAAGATACTTGTGAAGTTAGCTTTCAGTATCAAAGGCCATATCTGGTGTTGTTGGCTTTCTTAGTTGATTTGTCAATGATCCTATTGTACATATACCATACTTAATTCAACATTCATGTGTGCAATCACGAATTTTTTTTGTATTAAGATAGTGAAATAGAATATAAGATGGACTTGAACTTAGAAATTGCCATCGCACGTCCAAATATTTCATCTTGTGCTATTAGCATGTCCACAAGAACAAAATTATAGAGTTTAAGGGTTTACATGACAAGCTGTAACGAACTGAACCAGCAAATTCAAGAATAAATCCAAAGAAACAATTTGTATATAATTCTCCAATTCAACAGTTTTCAATTACAAGTAAAAACCAAACAATGACTTCCTAATTACAGATCTCAAAACATATTACAAAACAAAGAAAGTAAAGATTACAAAATAAGAAAGTAAAGATAGGTTCAGAGGAGTTCGAGAGCTCCCAATTTCACCCAAAGGTAAGTCCCAAATGCAAAAAAGATGTCCCACTCCTTTCACCCTGTTCTCTCCCAATTTCACCCAAAGGTAAGTCCCAAATGCAAAAAAGATGTCCCACTCCTTTCACCCTGCTTCCTATTTAACTGAATTTCCTAACAAATTTTCGCTCCATGAGTGCATAAAGGAGTATTATTCTTTGCATCGCTGCCTATGGAAGACTTACTATTGATAACATGTTTTATTTGTTTGATAACATGATTTATTTTTATTATTTTGAGAATGAGAATTACATTTGATAACACAACAAATAATATAATAAAAAATAATTCCAATTAAACATATTTTTTTTTTTCGAATCATTACTTTCCTTTCCATATGGTGTGGTAGTGGCGGCGGCGACGATGGTGGCAGCGTGGTGGTGGTGGTGGCAGCAGAGGTGGTAGTGGTAGTGACGGGATGATGACTATGAGCTTTTTGTAAGGAGAGGCTTGTTTATGGGTGCTTCCGAAAGGGAAAGAGGAACAATCTAAAGTGAAGGTATCAACACCAACCTTTTTTCTATGGTTTGAAGTCGACGGGTCAACCCACCAACTGCCAAAATGGGGCGGATTGGGTTATACATCTCAACCCACCATCTCGTCTTAACCTGCCTTGTTTAGTTGTAGGTCAAAATGGGTTGGCGGTGGATCAGGGTGATTGGTCCGCCGATCATTTTTTTTTTACTATTAGGTAATATTTTATTTGTCACTAAGCTTTTGTGATATAAATTTTTTTATCTTAATACTCCCCTAAAAAAAATAAAGAAGAAAAACTTTATTTATAACAAAGGTTATCCATGGAGGCAAAAATAAGTTCCTAAGAAATGTCTGACTGAATGTTAGCATACATTTAGGCTTGAGATTTAAAAAAAAATTAAGGGGGTGTGAAATGAAAATAAGTAATATTATAAAATTAATAAAATATAATTTATTTTAATTTTTAATTATTTTTTATTTTTTAGGCGAGTTGGCGGGCCACCATAAAATGGGATGGATTGAGATTTTCAACCCATATTCAATAGGCTAGGTGGGGCCGGCCGGGCTAACCTGTTTATGACGGGTTGGAGGTGGGTCGGGTTGAGCCGACCCAATTTGCCACCTCTGTCCCCAAGCTCTTAGTTCTTTCTCTCATGTTCTTTTCTTCATGACTTTCTAATTTTCTTGTGTTAGGATTAGATGAAATCCAACTGGATTTTGACGTAACTTGATTTATCTTTTCAATACAGTATCTCCTCTCAATAATGTGTGAATCATTCGATGTATAATATTTCCATGAGTTCCCTTCTTGTAGATCGATCTTGGGTTTATGTATGATAATAGGAATATTAATATATGAACTAGATTTGATACTTTTACCATGATTCTGGGAATAAATATATGGATATATGCAATCTTTATAATTCTCTATTTGTAATTCTTAAGCCCTTCTAAGAGATGTTAAGACATTAGATTACTTGGAAGGGAGATTTTAGTTAAGATGCCGAGAAATTAGATTTTCCCTTAACTATAATAGTGTAGAATTGATTTGTGATATTGAAAGAGAAATTGATTGAGAATTTGAATTAAGTTACACAAAAGAAAATTGAGGGAAGTGAAAACCTTAACCATTTTCATAATTTCATTTTCTTTGTGTTAAACGTTGTTTTTCGTATTTATCTTGCAATTGGGTTTTGTCTTGGCTTTGTTAATTTTTTATTTTTTTATTTTGCATTTTGATTGCTTTATGTTCACTGTTCTTATATACAATTCATATGACTATGATCCATTCAAATAAAGTCAGAAAATAACGAATTAATGTTTGAAATTACTGATTTTCGTGGGAATGATATCCTATTTATTACTTATATGACTAGCATATTTGCCTAGTCTGCAATAATACTCTTTTTTCTTTTTTAAGCTTTTATCCTAGATTTTTTTTTTCTCTTAGTAAGGTTTGAACGGGTTATATTCATAGTTTATATTCATCCCAAAATATGTTATAAAATATGCATATTTTGTATGTGGCGGATGATTATTTTAATTAGATATTAAGGGCACCATTAATTAAGATTTATGGTTTTAATCTTTGGTTTGTCTGATTAAAATATAACCATTGTGCATAATGAAACATTATATTGTAAAATTTAACACTGTCTTATATGTGGTGTAACATCCTGTAACATCCCTGTCTCGAGCCGGTTCATTTAACATATATATGATACAAACAGAAACAACGAAAGACTTAACTTACGAAAATATGAGATAACTTTTTCTTTTTCTTTAATCCTTTTTCACATGACATACTTGTTCTAATTTAATTCTTATTTGATGGAGACGAAAATCGGACAGAGTAACTTCTGTAAATCGGACAACTGAAGATTTGTAAATCCCACTCTCAAGGTACCCTGATAGACAATTTATACAGTATATACTTTCAGACATACTAGATATCCATATAGGATCATATACCCATCCATGGGCGCATGCATAACTTGGCTCCGAACCACTATGTCTAACAACATGCAATCCAACACATAAACATAAACTGAATACTACATCATCATATTAACATGCCTGAATACTCAAATGCACATGCATCCAACTGAAAGACATGTACAAAACATATACCGGTCATATACAAAATAAAGGATCAGACATCATGATCACCAAATGAATAGAACACTATACAACAGTACATGTTCTCCAAAAATAACATCTATAATAAATAGTAGCCTCCAGCTACCCAGAACTCCATATCCTTATACTAGTACCTCTAGCCACGAGTAGTGTCCTTGTCCCATGAGGGCTTTTCAATTAACTGTGTTCCTGAAATCATATCCCCAAACGGGGTTAGAGACGAATCTCTAGTAAGCTCCAGGTTTATAGAGAACTCTCTATACCCTGGGCTCACTTCCTGCATGACAGTCAGATACATAATATACAAAACATCATATATCATACTATACTGAGCATATCTCGTATAACATATCATATAATCAAATATCATAACTAAACAAAGCATATACACAAATCTTATCAGAGACGTACGCAATCATTCCCAAGGGATGACCCCAAGCAGAAATCAACGCACGTAACAAATATCATATACAAAAATCATCACAATAATCACATCAAAACAAAGCATATCATATCAGAGATGTACGTAGTTATTCCCAAGGGATGACCCCAAGCAGAAATCAACGTACATGTTCTCAAGGGAGGACCCCAAGCGGAACCAAGAGATGTACACTATCAGTCCCGAGGGATGACCCCAAGTATACATTAGTGCACATAAGATCAATGGCCAAAGATCATCATATAACAGAGGTGTACACAATCAATCCCAAGGGAGGACCCCAAGCAGAAATCAGTGCACATGTTCCCAAGGGAGGACCCCAAGCGGACATCAGTGCATAAACAAATCAATATCCAGAGATCATTACAGAAATCATATCGAAACATATCAAAGTAAACACATCAAAAGATATCAAAGTAAACACATCAAAACCTATCATATCACATCATCATATAGCTCAATAAGAATGCATCTATATCATATATCTCATACATATCATACAACCTGACCACAGTCCGTACACTATGGTGGAACACAAGGTAGGAGCAAACCCTATAAACATAGAGCTTACCTTTTGAAGCTTTACCAATTTGCTCACTTGTAACACAAGTTACCTATTTAGCTCCAAAGGAATCCAAACACGCTCAGTCCCTAGGCACACCTAGAGAAAGAATCCAAACAAAACTCAATAAAATACTACAATGCCATGTAGTTACAAGACATGCACTTTATTATTTACTTTTGTTTCTTTACATTTATGCCAATACACATGTCATAACCAGTTTTCTTTTTACTTAATCATATTAGGCCATGAGGGAGTGATTCTTTATTCAACAAATTCCCACAAAATTTCACGTATTTACTTAGTCATATAATAGTCCCAAAAGGCCTTTAGAACACTCATTACTTCTCTTAGCACCTAAAAGCCTTTTTTTTTTTTTCCAATTTAAGGCAAAGTGCCCATTACAAAGGAGCTATAAGATTTCTCTTTGTTTAGTGCCTAAACCCAAGCTTAGCCACCTATACAAATTATTTTTCGCATAACAGTATGCTCGCTTTGCAAAACAATAACTCCTAGCACAAACCTCCTTTGAAAATGGCCATAATCACATATAAGGCCTAAAGAATGAACTTACTCATTTTTCTTTTTATCTAACTCAACCAAAGGTTTAAACATCTAATTATATAGTCCTTAGGCTGTATAAGTACTCATTATCACAAACAAGCACTCTAAAAACATATTTCCTTTGTAAATGGCTAAGAGGCCCATAAAGGAAATCATGCCAATTTCATGATTCCAATGCTTTAGTCTATAAAATTCAAGCTTATCATACAACCATAATCATCATTAGGTAATAAAACCATTTTTACACATTAATTCATCCATTTATGCCTCAAAACATAAGACACCACTAAACATCATTCAATTAATTCACTCAATTCACAACTTGTATATACATATAAACCTTCACAAAGTGTTCAATTATTTTTTGAACATTAAACCCTAATTTTTACACCATGGCTGAACCTAGTGAGAGGAGATGCAAGGGACTTTTTCAAAATTTCAACACATATTCATACTCATTTCACACTATAACATCATAAACCATACTCACTTATCATAAATTTCAATATTCCAACTCAATAATATTCAATAACATATGCTCATAATATTCAAAACTTAAATCATATCAATCAAACCATTAAAATGAGGATTTCTTACCTCAAATCGCTTATTCAAGGCTTGGAGAACAAAACCCAAGCTTGGTTCCACCTAAAAATTCACTTCTCTCACTAGGATAAATAGTAACCAAATTTTGAGAGGAAGAGAGCTCTTCACACAAGCCTTTTCAGCCTAAACAAAGTAGTGGGATGGATTCACCATGATCTCTACTTAAACTTTCATGTATGGCACTTTGTGTTTTGGTGGCTAGATGAGTGAGAAAGAGAGGAGAGAGAGAGAGAAAATCTAACCCTCCACACAACCATGAAGCCTCGGGTGAGATACAGGAGACGACGATAGTGGCGCAAGAAGGAAAGAAGAATTTAAAGTATTTCATGATTTGTAAAATTAAGTTACTTTAACTGGGTAACGGTTTATCTATCTACACACCTTCATTTAATACCAAACTTTATCCAATGGACTAGAATATTTTTCCAGTCATATTACTAATTTTACTTTCACTTTTCGGGTAACTTTGTTTACCTGCATTTTTACTCCTTAACTGTCATTTTAACTTCTTTTTCACCAAAGTTGACTTTATTTCTTTTACTTCTAATAATTCTTCAATATTAAATCCTCAACTACTAGTGAGGGTTATTATACATCCCAAGTGCTAACAAGGACAGAGAGTGATCGCCAGTGCAAAAGAGGCACAAACAATGAAAGACTCATGCCAAATCTTGCAACTGGGGTACATGAACGAATCAAATCAGTACTTGAAAGAAAGGAATTCCAGAGATTATGCTAGTATGAGACGGTACAGTTAGGGATAGCCTATAAGAATTAATTGGTACTACCTATATTAATAAGATGTATCTACTTTTCGGTAGCCTGGAACGAAAGAAATCTATAGTTAAGCATACTTGACTTGGAGAAATTATGGGAAGGGTGACCTCCTGGGAAATTTTCCCACGAAGTATGTGAGTGAGGACAAAGCACGATAAAAAGTCTCGTGTTAGTTTGTGGGGACAATCATTGATCTTGCAAGTTGCTAGGCGTTACAAGTGGTATTAGAGCAGGGCCTCTCTCCCAGTACGGATTGGTTCGAGGACGAGCCAGGCAGAAGCTGATGTGCATGTAACATCCCAAGGGCTGGCAAGGGAAGAGAGTGATTGTCGGTGCAAAAGAGACACGGACAAAGAACGGCTCATGCCAAGTCTTGCAGCTGGGGTACATGAATGAATCGAATCAACATTCGAAAGAGAGGGATTCCAGATATTATGCTAGTATGAGACAGTACAATTAGGGATAACTTATAAGATTCAATTGGTACTATGAGTGCTAAACGAACCAGGGATGACCTGTGCTTACATGTCTAAAATTAGTTGTTGAAACTAAGCTTGGACTTGTATAAAAACTCGTTTAATAAAACAAACTCAGGCTCCAATTCAAAAGCCTGGTCTTAAAGTCTATCAGACTCGTGTAGTATACTAACATTTATTTTTATTTTATAATTTTTATACTATTCTTAATAGTCATCTTTGTCCTCAACTCATTTCACCCCATTTTATTAGTTAAACAAACTTTTTGAATGATTTTGTTTTATATTATACTGTTTGGTTATACATTGAATTTATGAATCTTTGTGGAATTATTAGTGTTGTTGATTGTATATTTTTTTTCATATATTTTTGGTGTCTTATTTTTTTTAACAGGGTAATAGGCTAAACCAGACTTTTATTTTTTGTAAATAAGTCAGGGCACAGGCTGATAATTATATTCATAATAGGTAACAGGCTAGGCCAGACTGACACATTAAAAACAGGCTTAGCCTTTTAAGACCAAAGCCCGACTCGGCTCGTTAACACCCCTAATTGGTGCTACCTATACTAACAGGATGTATATACTTTTCAGTAATGCGAAACAGAAGAACTCCATAATTAAACGTGTTTGACTTGGAGAAATTATGAGATAAGTGACCTACTGAGAAATTTTTTCAGAAAGTGTGAGTGAGAATAAAATACACTAAAAATCTCATATTAATTTGTAAAGACAATCATTGATTTTGCAAGTTATCAGATAGGCTTTACTATAAATAAATGAGAAGAAGAAAAGTTGGTCACAGTTCGTAAGAGTTCAAATTTCCCTTATTTCCTTTATATTTTCTGTCTTTATTTAAAAGCATCTTTGTGTTCTCCTGAAAAAAAAAAATATAGTTTATTTTTATTTACTAGTTTTTAAACAACCACATAAAACCAAGGATTTACACGCATAACTTCCACAATTCAATGGCCACGTGCAATTTGTGTGAACCCAATGAATTTGAATGACATATATTGATATTGCAAACTAATGAGATTGCTTCCTTTCTGGTCATTTCATCAAATTACTATTCGGTATCGAACAAATAAGGGGGTTGAAAATGACAATTGATATAACTTTAAAGTATTTGATATACCACATTAATGTAATTATAGCAGCAATATTTTATAATTAGCAAAATTATTGTAAAGATATTATATTGATTGCGCACTTGGGTAAAGGTGATTGGTGCACATTATTTGTATTGGAGGATTTAAAATTTTCATGTCTTGTTGGGTAATTTAAATTTATTCACGATGTGTTAAGAGTTCTTAACTACTAAGTTCATTTATTATAGGTTACGATATTTAGATTTTATTCTCGATTCATCGCCCAAATACCTTATAATCTTATATGTATGTTTATACGGTACCTATATATTTTATTCTCAATTCAAGCGTTTAGAATATTATAATTGAATCAAATAGTAACAAAACTCACATTAATAAAAATAAAATAAAATCAAGTATTCATCACTAAAGAGTATATAATTAATCACTGATTCGCATATTATAGGGCATGCATTGCTCAATTAAAAGCATAATTTTTTACACAAAGTTTAGAAGTAAAATGGAAAACTATCAGCCAATTCATGTATGGGAAGTGAAGACAAATCACAAGCAAAGATTCATCTAAATAGCCAGCTACATTTCTACAAAGTAGGTACCAAATGATAAATATGTTCCAATGTAATGCAGTGAAATTAGAACAAAGTAACAACACTAAGATCCTAAAAGGTCATGTTTCCTTTATTTTTTTTGAACAGTATAACACATAAGTAACACTTCTAACAAGTGGTAAGGTTTTAGTTTGCTTGGCTAATAATTATTTCAACTGTGACCAAACCTTGATTTCTTCAATTTTGCAATCACTCTCTCAAGTTTGCTAATTCTCTGTTCAAGTTCCTTTACTTCAATTTCAGATGAATAGCTGTATGATTCTCCTTGAGTCTCAAATAGGTTTACCCTGTCACTACAAAGTCTTGATTCTTTGCTCCCATTTCCATCTTCAAAATCATCCTCCAAAACCCTTATTGAAGGTTTAATGTTATCTTCTGCAACTTGCTTCATCAGTGGTAACATGTTTTTAACATCTCCATTATCTGCAGCAGAGGCTGATGAACATTGGTTGAGCAGAAACATACATTCATTAGTTGCTTCATCACCCAAACTACGATTTATACATTCATTAGTTGCTCCATCTTGAACAGAATTGTCACCAGGAACAGTTTTCAAATGTTTAGGAACAAAACCAGAATGTACACCAGCATTATTATCACCCATCCTAATTTCTAAAACATCACCATAAGATTTTCCAAAAATCAGAGTGTTAACAAGTTTGGGAGGAAACCCAGGTGGAACATCAACATCATTACCACTAGTGTTTGCTTTTGACCAATGAGACCTATGATTTGATGACCTTACACTTCTCTTCCTCCGCACAACATTCTTAGCAGGATCCTGATGACCCAATACTAATTGCTTCCACCACCATGCATAACGTGTGGTAACATCTGCCTCAAAAAGCCTAGATGGAAAATACAAATTCCCATCAGATATAGGCCTGCAGTAACTTTCCCATGCAATGGTTTTGGTCTGATTGAATCTAGGCACACAACCTGGAACATCTTGATCCATTCCAAATTGCATAGCAACTCTATGTGGGAGGTACTGTTTTATAATGGAATCAGTTCCAACAAGCTCTGAAACTCTCAAGCATGTAACATAAGAGACTATTAGTTCTTTATCCAAATCTTTCTCTGATGATACCCAGATTTCATTTTCTGGATAAATTAACCTGCATTTATCAGCACATCTAACATATGGGCGCCAAATAAAATCCTCAATAGATAAGTCCAGTGCCAATCTCACATTGTCAAATTTCAAGGCCTTGACCTTGTGCCACCTACCCAACATAGGGTCTCCATTGTTGATCAAATTGGGTTCTGGTTGCAAACTTTTGAACCTCTCCCACACCCAAATCTGAACCAAGTACATGGGTGACAGAAGAGTAACCTCCAAGTGCAAATTATCAACTACTACTGGACATTTTGTCAAACCAACGATTGTTTTTTTCAACAAACACAAATCCTTATATATGGTAGCCAATACTGCTGGTGCCAAAGCAATGGGATTCCCTCTAGCAAGATGAATAGCAATAGGGAACACAGACTTATTTACCAAGCCCTTATTAGAAAAAACAAACATGGACAACCAAGTTGCAAGGAATGCTTCATGCTCAATATCAAACTCACTATTGATGAAAAGATCCATCCATGCTGATGTGGAAGCCTTACCTTTTTTTCTCCTCCAAGGCTCCATTCTTACCAGATTCAATCTTTCTTCTATCTCTCTCATTTCCTGGTTTTCAAGTGGGGAGAAAACAAGGTCACCAAGAACAGGATAGCCTCCCAAAACCATCATATCCTCCAACGTGATTGTTGCTTCACCCCATGGAAACACAAATGTATTTGTCTTAGAACACCACTTTTCTGCAACCCCAAATACCAACTCTTGATTTTTCACTATGCAGCACTTGGTGCTCATGATAGCTTCAAAGATGCCAACTTTCTTCCACACTGATTCATACCTGGGATAAAGGGTATCCACCCACCCAATCCATTTCTTTGGTGAGCGAGGCCACCCATTGAAATGGATTTCCAAAGGCCACTCCTTGGGTTCAAACATGGGTGAGACAGTCACAGCAGATGAAAGAATCTCAGAGACTTGTTCATCAGTGGAGTTTGCAACAGGTTTCAGAAAATGGGCAGTTCTGAAAGTTGGTTCACTATCACCAGCAGGTGAAACCATGAAATCTTCCCTCACTTCCATGATGGTCTCAAATGGTTCATTCATGAGTACGAAACTATAACTCAAAACTTTAGTGTTGGGTTGTTTAATGAGAAAACTTGAACAACAATTCAGAATGTGATAGATGGTGTTGAAGCTAAACAAGAGAAACCCAATTTTCCAAAAATGGTTGCTGAGACCCTCACACTGTTGCTGTGTTTCCTTGACTTCAAAAAAGGTAACCTTTTGAGAGACTATATCACATGGGCATTGTGTTGCCTTCAAAGCATTCTTGCACACGAAGCGTCATTACTATTATGCTAAGTGGTTATAAGCATTATTGAAATATTTTTGTTTACCTCTCTTAATATATTTTTGTAAATTTTGACAGAATTCCACCTGCTTAATATTTATCACGAGAAATATGCACAATCTTCATACAATTATAGGATTTTATATTTTTCATGTGATTGGAACCAAATTTTTTTTTTATGCACACTCAACCAAAGTGGGACCCATTGTGAAAGAGAAAAAAACAAATCAAAAAAGTAAAAGTTCGTGGATCGATGGGTGAGTAAGAATTTGTCATCCTCTTATGCAGCATGAAAGCTTCATTACCTATAATTATATCGTCTGGAAATATAACATAAGAGAATTCGTTCCTAAGGAAAACTACTATATCACCTAATAAGTATAAGATTTCACAAAATAAAGGGAAACTAAAACATTAATAAACTGCTAAAGTAAAGAGAAATTCTACATTGGGTTTCACTAGCTATTATAGTCTTAGATGCAAGGAAATCTTGGCGCAATTGTGCCAACAGTGGTAATTGCTTCCTTTTCTATCACACAATTTAAGTTAAACCTAATTTTATTGAAATATAGTAATTGATATTACATAATTTGAAATATAACTAATTGATTGTGATAAATTAAGGGTTATACATGTATTACATGAACAACACTATTTGGTCCTACACAAACATAAAGGAAGAGAGAGAAAATGAGCTGAGGAAAGAGAAAATAAAAAATTGTGGACCCCACATCTGTTTGTTTGTGTAGGAAAACAAGCTTTCATCATGTTACATAATAGATATATTTCCCATAAACTAATTGAGAGAACATAATTTCAAATACTTTAACTTGGTTTCAGCCTCTTTTTAAGTCCTAAGTAAACCTTCAACTCTTGTGGCCTAACCCCAAAATTTGGCTGCTTTAAGCTTAGCAACCACTCTTTCAAGCTCCAAAATCCGGTTTTCAAGGTTAGATGCTGTCTCTACTATACAAGGACTGATACCTTGGCCTTCCATGTTATTGGCACCATTTCTATCAGAAAATGGACTCTTGATTTTGGCTTCATTCCCATCATCTTCTATTTTGACTCTTGTTACTCCTCCAAGAACATCTTCTATTTGACCATTTGCTCCTCTAACAACATCCTTACTTTTTGATCGAGCTGTTTCAGCATCCACCCTTGATGATGGAAAAACACCAGATTGAGGACAAGACAAAGCCTTGCCATTTCCAACTACTTCTTGATCTCTCTTAAACTTGGAAGTAAAACCAGGTGGTGGACCATAGGATCCTTTAAAATCTACATTCCCAGATGAAGCTGGTGACAAATGTTCTGAGCCGCTTATGCTTGTCAGACAACAATGATCGTTACCCTTTACTGTATCTCCTTCCTTGCCAGGTTTTAATTGCTTCCACCAATCATAGTACCTTGAAGTAAGATATTGCTCGCAAGCACATAATGCAATGCACAAATTTGTATCCATTATTGGCTGGCTATAACTTATCCAAGGATCCTTTTTACAGCGAGCAACCATAGCAGGAATGTCCTGATCCATTCCAAATTGCATAGCAACACGATGTGGAAGATACTGCTCTATACACCCCATACCCTCCAATTCAGAGACCCTCAAGCATCGACAAAAGGACAGCAATTCCCTATCCAAAGAAGGATTATCACATTCCCACATGTCATTTTCATTGTAGACCTTTAGGGGTGGTGAATTCTTATATGGTCGCCACATAAAGCCATTTCTAGCTCCAGCAGAATCCAAAGTCAATTTCAAGTTTTTATTTGTCATCATTTTCACTCTGTCCCATCTAGCCATCCTTGGTTGGCCTTGCTCAATTGGATGTGGATGAGGCTGCAGTGATGGAAATCTCTCCAAAGCCCATATTTGAACCAACTGAAAAGGAGCCCATAGAGATAGAGCTAGATTACTTCTGAACTTAGCACTGTTGATTTTGCTGTTGAGCAAACTCAAGTCCCTATAAATGCTTGCTAAAACAGCAGGAGCAATAGCCATTTCAATCCCTCTAGCTAGATGTATGGCAATAGGGAAAACGCTTTTCAAAATGGTGTCAGGTGAATTTGCAGGGAATACAAACCTTGACAACCATAGAACCAAAAAAGCCTCGTGCTCCAATTTGGTTTCATTCTCCATGAAATGCATCATCCATGGCTTATGAACCACCTTTCTGGCTTTAGTGCTATTAAAGATTCTTCTTGCAGCAACTAGTTCCGCTTCTGTTTCCTTTTGCTCATTGGTCTCAAGAGGGCTAGAAACTGGAGCTCCCACAACGGAGTAACCCCAACAAACCTTAATATCTTCCAAAGTGATGGTTGCTTCTCCCCAAGGAAAGATGAATGTGTTGGTCTTTGAACACCATCTTTGAGCAAGCTCAAGTATCAACTCATCATTCCTGTGGATTTCATATGTAGAAGCTTTGATGGCTTTGTCTACCCCAGCTTTTATCCAAAGATATTCATACTTGGGTTGCAATTGTTGGACCCATGTTTTCCATTCTTCTTGTGGGTTTCTCCATCCATTGTATCTCACTTTAATTGGCAACTTTGAGGGATTGAGAGTGTCTGTGGAATGGTGAAGAAGAAAGTCACATGCTGACTCTTTGATGCTACTCACACAAGGTTTGAGAAAATAGGCAGTTCTGTGAGTTGGGTTTGCACCAGATGAGGGTGAAACCATGAGTTCTTCTCTAGCTTCGATAATGGTGTGCGGTGATGCATCCATTGTAGAAGTGCTTAGTGAATGAAAGACAGTGAAGAGTCTTCTGGGTAGTGCTCGATGAGCAATGGTTTATATGAAGAGTCTCATTGGGAAGTGAGAGGCCTGAATTAATATGCAGGATCTGCAGAACCATGGGAACTTGAAAAGTTTTTCATAGCTCAATGAAGGTATAGAGTTGCTTTGCTATGTTACTTCTTATTATGCGGTATTCATGTAGGAATTTTGATGCAATGTGAAAATTGTATATGCTTTATTTCTAGGGAAATCCATTTGTCACAGAAACATTTTGATGGTCCCATTATAATTTTTTCTTTGACCTCCTTTTCTTTTCTCTCACCTAGTTATGTTTGTAGGATAATTATTCATTTGTCATGTAAGACTTCAAATAGATTTCCTTCATTTTTATTATAATTTATCACTTGAGCCTATGTTTTTTTTTTTTTTTTTTTTTGCTAAACGAGCCTATGTTTTAAATTTGCCACTTAGATCCATCATACTTAAATAATTTATCAGTTAATCTGTTATGGTTTCAAATATATTTTTTTGATAAATATGATTTCAAATTTTCACTTACACTCATTGTGGTTACAAAATTATATCACTTAGACATCTCATGGTCTTATAAATATAAAAATATTTATTTTTTCTAAATTTTATTTTATATAATTATGATATTATGAAATAAAACTACAATAAAAATTAATAATTAAATCTGCAAATAAAAATTATTTCAAGTTATTTTTTTAAAATTATAAATTATCTCAATTTTTTATTTATTTTAAAAATATATTTAAAAATTAAAAAAATTATTTAAGATAAATTAAATTTGTATTACCAAAATAAGATATTTATTTTCTTTAGATTATTTTATAACGATATCGGGTAAAAAATAGATAAAATAAAATAATATTTGATTTGAAATAAAAATAGATGCTGATATAAAATAATAAAGAGGGAAAATAAAAAAAAATTATATGTATAAAATTATAAGGATATAATTGATATTATTATTAATTTAAATTTAAATAAATAATTTATATTTTTCGATGTATAATTTTAATTTATAATAGGATAATAATATATGATAAAAGTTGAGAAAAAAATATGTATATATAAGACCACAAGGGGTCTAAGATATATATTTTTATAACCCCAATAGGTGTAATTGAAAATTTGAAACCACATGGATTAAATGATAAATTATTTAAGCACAATAGTTCTAAGTGACAAATTTAAAATCATTTGGGATCAAGTGATAAATCATAAAATCACAATGGGTGAAAATGAAATTTTTCTTCTTGTTATTATTATTTAGTTTTATTTGATTTTGCTTTACTAAGTTTGATGATTTTATTTGAATATTTAGGTTTATTAAATACGAACTGTGATTAAATGTAAAGATATTTCAAATACAGATCAAGGTAAAATAAATTTTAACTAAACTCTTAGTCCTTATTAAATTTTAAAATTCATTGAAAGAATAAAAAAATTAAGGAGTTAAATGTCCACAATTCCTAGAAAAGTTAAATAAAATTAGAAACAAGATTTTCGACCTTACCTATAAATATGAACAGAAGAATGGAGAAAAGGAGAACTCGGGGGGGGGGGGGGGGCATAACAGTTAGCGAGTTAAACAAAGAAAATGTGGATATCTTTGCATATTGCTCAAATAAAATCAGCCCTCCTTTTAAATACTAGAGAAAAGTCTATTTTTGTGAAACATAATCCATTTTGGAATCCACCTCAGACAGGGTGGTGGAAACTAAATGTGAATGCTGCGGTGTGTCCTCAATCCAAAAAGGCTGCGTGTGGAGGATTGATCATAAATGAGAAGGGTAACTGGTTAGTAGGTTTTACCTCCCATGTTGGTGCCTGCTCCCCTCCTATAGCCGAGTGTTGGGCAATTATAAAGGGGCTGGAGGTAGCCTCGTAAATGAATGTCACTCAAGTAGAGATTGAGAGTGATTCTTCCTTGGCAGTTCAATTGGCTACAGGTCAGTTAAATAAGGCTCCTCTTGACAGCCTTGTTCAAGAAATTCGCAAATGGAGATATCAAAATTGGGTGCTGAAGTTCAATCATACTGGAAGAGAATCAAATTGTTGTGCTGAATGGATGGCGTCATTTGCTGTCAAGAGAAATCAAGATTTAGAATTGTTTTTTTCAATTCATGATGGAATTCAGTTTTTTATGGAATTTGATAGGATAGGATTGTCTTAGTTTATTTTTGTTTTTCTTTCGAGCATTTCCCTCCTTGTTTACTAAGAAAAAAAACAAAGAAAAACATTGTGGAAAAACTTGGCAACCCGCTTCATTTTATTTTCTATCGTTAATATTTTGTTTAATTAGTATCTTTCAATTTTATGTGAGCTGAATTGACTATTTATAGGAAGATAGATCTTTTTCTAGGCATATAATTTAAGGGAAAAATGTGTTTCATTTTAAAGAATATAAACTTATCATTTTAAATGAAAGAAAGAGAGATAATGGAGAGAGAGAAGGGACAAAAAAATAAAGATGGTGGGTTCCACCTCTTTATGAGAGTGAAATAACATAACTTTTGTCATTTAACACGACAAACATTTTTTCCGTACTTTAATTCTTCTACTCTTTTGTGATGAATTCTTGATTTTATTCACTGAGCAAGTCCTACTTTCATTCTGAATATTGGAATTTAGATTGACAAATTATTGTATATAACGACAAAGAAAGCAAAGAATGATAAACACTAAAGGTTGGGTTTGTGCTCTTTTACTTAAATTCAATTGGGCTAAGAGTACAAGAAGAGTTCAAAAAGCCTACAGCTCAAAGAAAGCTTAGAGCTAGGTTTTTTGATATCCATATAAATACTACAACATAAGTCGTCAATTTCTGAGGTCAGTGAACTTAAAGAGGTAAGTTCAGATCTGAAAAGTGTCAATACACTTTTTCTTTCTTTTTGAGACGTAGTCTGGAAGATCTACCACTGTCCAATCTCAAGGAGTTTGTTCGTGCAGCGATATTTTATATGGGGATATTCTGCACAGAATATGCGCGTCAGAGTTAAATTAAAAAAACAATGATAATTCGCTGCATCCCAAACCACAACGGTCTAAACACATTTGCATCCAATTGCGCCTACACTAATCACATAGTGAAAGTTCTATCATGATTATAGTATAATACATGACTATTGATTGAATTTTAATTCGTGTCGCACCATGAGGGAACATCTTTGCTTCTTCCATGAATTTTACAAAGAGTTTTGCCCTTCACATTTTAAAAAATGAATTGGTGCTCTTAGAGCAAAAGATCCTAAAATAGAACAATGTTCATTGAGTTGTCAATTTACAAATACTAACAATTCACTAAGTTCATGCAATTTGCAAGATATTTTTCTTTAGTTATGCAACTAGATTCCGAAATTTGTGTAGAACTGAACCATTAATGTAAAACTTTGTATTATAAGTTTATGCGAATTCCCTGGATATATCTTTATACATATGTCATTTTTACATGCATCAGATTTGTAAAATTGAGAGTTTATCTCAGGACTAGACATAACGGTTGGTGAACATGAAACTCAGCTAGCTCTAGGATGTTAATCAACCAATTCAAATCGTGATGATCGAACTCAAAAACCGATACCGAATTAACCAATAACCTAAAAACTAAAAAGAAAATCGTATATTTTAATTGAATTGGATCAATTTTCGGTTTGATTGGTGAAAACTAATCCAATCCAAACCGCCCAATATATTATGTATTTATTATTTTTGAAAGATGATAATATGTAATCTTGTTGTTTTGTAGACTTGAAATCTTGGATGTTATTGATAGCAAATGATCTTATTTTAGTTTTTATTGTCTGTTAATCTATTTTAACTCTTCATGAGTTTTAAGACTTGTTTTGCTTTAAAGACTTGAATTTTTCAGTGGTTTGTAACTTTGAATGGTTTTATTTTGATATAGCTAATGATTTGTATTACTGAAACTTTAGGCTTGTTATGGACCAGAGAAAGGCCCACAGCAGCATGAAGCCTAACCAACGCCAGCCCAGAGGTAAGCTCTATAAATAGGACTAAAGACCACAGGTATGACTGATCTCTCTAACCCTATTTCATTGGAGACACGACAGTGCACACACACACCCCTTCTGGCTAAAGCCATCATACAGTGTGTAGTGATCAGCTGTCCCCAAGATACCTAATTCATAGGTATCTAGAGAGAAAATTCTAGATCCAACATCAAAGACCCGACCTTCTGTCGGACATACCTGCTTCAGGCAGAACATTGGCGCCGTCTGTGGGAAACGAACCCACGACCACGTGATCAAAAGCCACGATGGTGAGAGCAACAAGAAGTGGATTTCGACAGCCATCGAGATCGAATTCCAGAATCCAACCTATTTCTCCAATTAGGGAGAATCCTCTGGATGGACGGCAGATAGATGCCGACGCCGTGCACGTGAGTGATGTGCATTCTGATTCGGCATCGACTCCAGCTGTTAACCAAGACGCTCCTTACATGCAGGGTTTACAACCGATGGAGGAACAAGTAGCAGATACTGCACAGGCACCGATTGGTGCAATTGCTGATTCTCGGGTAACAGATCTGGCAGTTGCCGCAGTGCTTCGGAGAATGCAGGAAATGGAGAGGAGACACGGGCTGGAAAGGGAGGAAGCTGCCAGACAAATGCGAGAGCTGGAGGCCCGAGTTGGTCGAGCTACCAACCCGAACCCGGAGCAGGAAATAACACGGGTCATGAATGACCTACGGATTGCAGGCACCCAGGCGAACCCTAATGGGACTCAGGCCCAAGGAAGAGGGGTTGAAAACGTCGAAAGTCAGCCTCAAAGAAGCACCCCCTATGTGGTCCATAATCAAGGACCCGAAGTTCTCAATAGGAATGGGGGACAACAGGAGAGACCGAACCTGAACCCGAACCTGAACGATGTGTCCGGGGTCTACAGGAGGAAGTATCATAGGGGGCAATATAATGACAGCCCCTTCACGGACGAAATTG